GAGTCTGATAAATTTGTGTAGTCCACACGGTTTATCTTTTTGAGCCTAAACAGAAGCATTAGTTGCTTTATCTTTCTACACTACACAGATTTAGCATTTTATACGTTATTTTGCCAAAACATTCATAGATATGCTTTTCTTCAGCTATCGATGATTGAATGAAAGACCTGGTGAGATGTGCCTCAAAAAGTCTCATATATACAGTACATCCGTTGTACTAAGTATATCTGTTATACTCATAGGCCAATCTTTTTATAAGATTGAAAACAATTTCATACATTAAAATTGGATGTTACCTTCCCATTCCCTTAATCTGAAAAGATTAAACAAGTGGATTTGCAAAGATCTACTTACATCTTCATGAATTGACGGCTTACACGGAAAATTTTATTCATTCTTGTGTATGATGGAATGATTCATGATGGAATGATTCTCATTTCATCATAAGGGGGAGTATGTAATAATGAATGAAATATTCATTTCCGAACATTTTAAAGGGATTCTGATGCAAAGATCAAGGGGAGTAACTTCAAAATTGGCAAAAGACTCAAAAGAAGTGCGACTGGAGATAATCACAGAAAGATTATTCATGTGTACGACTGAGAGTTTTTTGAATGAGAAGACCAATGTTTCAAAAGTTTACCAAAGAAAAAGTTTGTGGTTTGTTGTCTGAATATTCTTTGAAGATCACATCTTGTACATTGTTTCTAATGATTATTGTTCTACATTGTCAAAAGAGAAGATCATTGTTGTTCTACATTCGAGGGGGAGAATGCTAGAAGATCTTTCTCAACAGTTGATTGCTTTAAGATTTCATGTTGAAAAATTCTTTTGAAGATGACATAATGTGCTTAAAGTTTCAAAGTTCAAACAGGACTCAAAGCGCAGAACTTCTTTCAAATCTGAATACAAAGGGGGAGAATGTTAGGATTGAAAATCAGTATTAAATTGTATTCGTCTTGAAAGTTAAATATTGTCTATAATTGTAGAAAAGTCATCGTGTTTGACTTTTCTTATATTGGTTTGACTTTGACTTTTGTCTAGTAGTTTGACCCTATAAATAGGGTGATGTCTTTGTAAATTTAGAAGAGGAGCTTCATTGTAAATCTAATTACGTAATAAGAGGGTTTGACCAAAGTATTGATTGTTGACTTTCTCTCTCAACTCTCTTATATGATGTTCTTGAATGTTCATATTAGATATGCCATTGATTCATAGAAGAATGCTTGAAGATTGATCATAGAGACTCACACAAATGGACCCAATAAGGACCCTTAAGAACCATTACCTCAATTAGTCACATTAATGTCTAGTTATACCAGTTTTGACTCATTCAGTATCATTTTGACCCAATAAGGTAGTTTTTTCCTATTCGCTACCTTGGAGTTCCTCTCTCTCTAGTTCGATTAAAGGTACGTGATTTCAACCCTCTTGTGCTTAAACTAAAATCTCGATTATTGAACTGGAAAAACAAATTTCTTTCTTATGGGGGAAGACGACAGCTCATTATTTTTGTTCTTCACTCTATGCAAACCTATTGGATGTCGGTATTTCTTGTACCGGAAACCACTATCCATGAAATTGAACAGCTGTTCCGTAATTTTTTATGGAATAAAGCGGAGGGTGAACTGGGAAAATGTCGAGTATCTTGGGATAGGGTCTGCTTACCTATACAAAATGGTGGTCT